TTTAATATGCAGTCTAGACATGCTGATATTCATCTCATAAGATGTTGTCGAGCGGCTACTTTGTCTTCTGCCCACTTGAATGTGTTTGGCCTTATCGCGTATTCCTCTTGTCTCCACAAGCCTGCACTCTGGAGGATCAAATTATCTCCCTGCCTTGTTGTTTGACTTCTTTACATGCGTTGCCACGGCAACTTGTCACACGTCGCGAAAAGATGGTTATTTAATTCACAGGAGCAGTCTGCCAGTCTGACACGCAGTCACTGTTTTAAGTGATCTCCTTCCCACAGTGGGCTTCCCAATGTAAGTGCTCATTAGGATTCTATTTAAAATTGCACGAGACCCTGGAATTGCGTATTGCTGCCACACACACACACACACACACACACACACACACACACACACACACACACACACACACACAAAAAGGCCCTTTTCACATAATTACATGAAATGTTTGCCATAGCAATATCTCTTTTACGCTATAATGTGAACATCCCATGTTATTTCAAAATACGAGTTTTCCACTTCATGCGTCAGAATTGGAGGCCATTTTGGGTTCGATATTCTCAAAAATTACATATTCGCTTTGTGCGATCGGGTTCGTTTAATAATACAACTCCTGGTAAGAGTAGAGGTTCTTTATTTGGACTGCCGTCTTGGTCGGAGGGAGAAGGCAATCGCCATGTGTACATCTCGTAGACTCTCGTACAACTGACTAATGGCTGCTCATGCTCTGTGTGCGCTCTGTGCGCAGGCATAGCTAATCGAACAAGCAAATATGATTTGCTCATATCGTTACATGCTTTTCTGCTAAATATTCATCATTGTTCAGTCATGAGCTGTACTGTCAAAGGCTTGATTAGCTCAACTTTGATCAATGGTACAATTTTTATGGCATGATTTATTTGCCGTTTACAATACCTGTCACTGTAATCACAGTAACAGGGATGCAAATCCAGACAAATGTTTGCTTTCTCTTACGAGTAGAAGCTAGCTTTTTAGCTAGCTGTTACTGCTGCCCAAGAGGACAAATTCACCTGATGAAATTAAAAGTGAATTGTCTTTTACCGGGTAGAGTGAGACATTCAGTCAACGCTAATTGTTTTATAAAAATGTGAATAATAGACACGAGGACATACCTTTGCGCTACCCAGTCTTTTGGAAAACTGATGACGTAAAGTCCAGCGTGATTCACTGCTTTCCTCTTCTTCGACAAAGTTGAAAAGGTTATGGTCACGGGTTTGCATGCAAGTTGTGGGACACACAAATAATATTTTTTATTTAAAATCTTGTGTTTATCAAACAAGTGGTCCCACAATTTTGACAGCAATGAAACAAATAATATCAAAACAATGAGGTTTACATTTCATTTGAACTGTTTTATTTGCGATTCAATTTCCTCATTGATGGGGTGGGACAAGCGAAACATTGTTTTTTAGGGACTACGACAGACTTATTTGTTTTTTTCAAAACTATCAGAAGCATTATTTGTCTTTTTCTTAGTTTTTTGAGATTTGTTCTCAAGACAAGTGAATTTACTCAGAAACTCCATGTTTTAATATTTTGTATGTGGATTATTTAAAATTTGATTTGAGGGAGGTAAAATGTCCTCCAATTCTGGAATGACCCTTACAACGTGAAACAATCCAATTGTTTCGAAATATCTTCATGTTAAAACAAGATAAATAAGCAACGTGAAATGATCGAGCCAGTTTTGTTTGTATGTGTGTGAAGCAATCCGCTTCAGTACATAACAGTGTGACTGACATCAAGAGGAATTATTGGCTTGTCACATAAAACCCGAGTCTCGTTTGTCACGTTTGTGTTTTGCAGCATTCCATTAGAAACAACGTACTGTATTGATTGTTAACAGGCCACAAGCACAACAACAAATTCCAGTGTCAGTCACCCTGAGTGTTCTTTAATCCACTCACTACTACCCGAGTCAGCACTTTGGTGCCTATGTGCGTACTGACGGTAGCACCTGAGCTGACAGATTAGCCACACTCATCATGTGGCGCTATTATCCAGGTTAGTAAGACTATTACATTATTATCGTTACACGACAAAAGGACGCAACTCAAGGCAAGGTTAAAAACAGTACATACACTTCTACTTCTCGGAAATCTGAAGCGTACCTTTCCAGGTGATAAAGCAAGCAGGCAAAATGTCTTTAGATAGGATGTTTTGTGTGTGTGTTTTTTTTTTTTTTAAGGCAAAGGCCACAGAGTGCTTTATGGGATGAACGTTAGAATGGGTTATTGTCAGCAGGCAAAATGTCTTTAGACAGGATGTTTTGTGTGTTTTTTTTTTTGTTTTTTTTTAAGGCAAAGGCCACAGAATGCTTTATGGGATGAACGTTAGAATGGGTTATTGTCAACCTCTTTTAATACTGTGTTGAGTGGCTGTTGTCAGGCAGGTCCTTGAAGACCTCATGAGTTCAGTCACTCTGGTCAGGGCCGGGGTAAGCTGCTTCCAGCCTGTGAAGTGAAACCGCGCTGTGAGGTGACATGTTCCCTTTGGAAATGATTCCTTACAATGTGAGATCGTAGGAGTGACTCTACCAACGCATCAATTCACTTGCTGACCTCGTAATCAGGTGTCTTGATACCTCAGTGTTTTCTTCAAAGTCCCTCTGGAATGCAGACCACGTTCAAATGTACGGGTAATTGTTTTTGTTTTCCTGAAAAACAACATGAATGACTTTATCATTTCCACTGAAATAAAGAAAGGTTATCACGTCACTATGTGACAGTAGAGAGACTGATTCCTACGAACACCGAGGATCAAGTGGCCTTGCGATCGTGTGCGATAACCAGGAAAAATGAATCAGAGGAATTCTGCTGATGCCGAGTTTGCTAAAATTGTATTTCACTTGGGAATGACTCACTCATGATTTCTGGATCATGATTTATTCATTGTCATTGACTGTCGTGTTTCACTCACTTGACTTCCATGCAGGCATGTGTGGGTTCAATTTCCACTCTGTCGCAGTATGACTAAGACTGTGAATTTTTGTTGTTGTTGATCAACTGGCGAACCAATCCAGGGCGCCCAAAGTCATCTGGGAGAGGCTCCAGCACCATGTGCAAACCAGGGTTAGCGGCATAGATGATGGATTGATGGATGGATAAATTCCTTGTCAAAAGGAAAATCATTAAAATTATCACGATTCCATCTGACAGTACGACATTGCTGTTCTCCTTCTATGTTGTCAGTTGTTACCGTTGCCCTTAAAACACTGAACATTTTAAAGACTAACTGCAGCAATAATATTGAATTGCATGCTTACTTTGGAAAGGTGTTTTCCCAAATACATGTGGGGGTATGTGACATCTGCTCCTGAATAAATCTTTGAAAACAATTGTTTTCCGTCAGCAACTAAAGCACTAACCTATTTCTTGGACCAAAATGCATGCTTGCGTTGCCAGAAATTTTGAATTCCGTGAATATGCTGGTGTTTGTCTCTGTGTCATGACAACAAAAAAACGATTCTTCTTCCGAACTAAGTGGGCTCATTTATTTTATAGAGCACTGTGCAAAACCACGTTTCTCATACAGCGGGCGATTAATTTTCTTGCATTTTTTTGTGGAGGTGGTAAATGCTATGCCAAGGTTGAAAGATGTCAGCGCATAGATACACTGAAGGGGCGGGGACAGTGGGTGCATTATTTTTGGGTATTGCCCGCGATGGCCCTGTCCCTGCGATGTCATGACTCTGACACTGTTAGAACATTAATTACATCTAGCTGATTACATTTCTCCAAAGCATTCTAAGCAGAAACTGTGTCGCCTAGCAACGGCAAATCTGTGCTGCCGGCAGCTGATAAATAATATTCATTAATATCGTTTCACAAAAGGATGCTGATTGAACATGTGCTATTAAACCAAAAGCCTGAGGCGCAGTGTGACAGAAATGACACATTGGAAAGGTTTGACTTATTTTGAGGTCCAAATGACGCTTTCTTGGAAAGAGTCCTTTTCAGAACCCCCACCCGCCCCCACCTCCCACGCTGATTAATTCCCCCCTCAGTTGTCGAACTTCCCCTGCTGTCGAAACTTTATTTGACAACTCCGTCTGGCAAAGCCACGCGCGGCAAACAGCTTTAAGGGAGCTGGGCACAACCAGCAGTGTTGATGCAGATTAAAATAGGAACCATAGTCGATTGGATTATACCTAATACGCCATTTCATGTAGCGTAACGTGTCATTTTCTGGGCTCCGTGCCCTTGTTTGTGTCGTGTACATCCGAATTACAATTCAAACTGAACTGCGGTTCCTTTCCAATTCTAAAAGCGGCGAGTCGCTTGTATGGAAGGTCGACTACACGCTTTGACTAATGCTTTAAATGAACCCACAATGCACAATGACTCGATTGTGCATGAGACATTGGACCCATAATGCTAATTACCATGGACAGATGCTGGTTGTAATGTGCACAGGTGATCATTGTATCGGTTTGTGTTTGAAATCGGGTGCAAGTCACGTGCCTCGACCGTTTGGAGGGGGGCGGGATAGAGAGGAAAAAAAAATAGAAATGTTAGTCGCTTTAGCGGATCCAAAACCTCGGACTGCACGTCCAGAGAGCGCCGGTGCTCAACGGGGAGGGAATCCCTCCAGTTCGTCTCGCTGTTTCCTTTACCAAGGAAACCCACACTGTGCACTTTCTGACGCAACTGCCCATTTTAGGCAACATGCGTCAATGGACTGATTCAAGTGCGATAAACAAGCGTGGACCTCACTGCTGCTTCTGACGTCCGGAACCGGTCCAGAAATGTCCTTGTACGTTCGAGGCAGTCTATTTCGGTTGTGCCCATGCTGTAATTCTTACGCCAGTTTCCAGCGGAGGAAGCATTTACCGGCGCTGTCTATTTCGCCACTTTATTCAAAAGACACCCCCTCCCCTTCAGCTCAAGTCGCAACGCCCATATGCGTGACGTGAGTTCTTTCGTCTGTGTTGAAAAGCAGTTGCACTTCTCGATAGTGCCATTGAAGTGAGTCATCTCTAGGAAGTGTGGTTAAAAAAAAGAAGGGGGGAAAAGGCGACAAAAAAACTACCATCGAAGTGTTCCGTGAACGCCACGGGTCGCGCGTAATCGGCAAGACAGTGGAAAACAGAAAGAAGGGTCGACAGGCAAAAAAAAAAAAAAAAACGTCTTAAAGTGAGTCAACCTGCGTGGATCTTAACTTTTAAGTTCAAGTTCGTGCACCTTGCACCTCTTGAATAACAAACGGACAACCGACTCCATTACTTGACGTCGCTGTGATGTTCTAGGTGACTCCAAAGCAACGGCTGCACCTTTAATCAACTCTTTTTTTTTTTTTTTTTGGAAAAGTAACTCGCAGTCGAATTGGAGGATTCGTGTTGTTTTCTTTTTAACCACCCTGCTGGTGCCTTTGATACGAGCGAGGATTTGCTACCTTAAACTGCGCACCGAACAAGTCTCGTGATACCTTCTTTTTTTTCCTGGATCATGTACCAGGACTACTCCGGGAATTACGACACCTCGTCCCGCGGCAGCAGCACTTCTCCGGCCCAGCCCGAGTCTTTCGCGAGCGGCAGCAGCACCATCGGAAGCCCCATCTCTACCTCAACCTACCAGGTAACACTCGACAAGCTCAACCTCGATGCTGCTGCAATGTGTTCTTATGCAGTTTAAACGAGTTGCACCCATTAACTCAACTATCTGCGCACAATTTACGCGAATCCTGCTGCAGGTATTTATTTTCGTTTGCGCCCAGGGGTGCGAGTTTAAAAAAATGGTTGGTGTGCGCACAAAGTGGTCAAGCCGGTCTCATTGCGTACGTTTAATTCAGCCTCCAAATGAACACTGTGAGAAATGTAGTGATCTTCACGAGCTGCCCTTTATGGAAAGTAAGTCGAAATAACTTCTGTTGCGATTTGGTGCGATATAAATCAATTTAGATTGAATTGAACAGAATATTTGCGGCGTTTGCGCTCCAGATGGAGCTTCCAGACATATCGCTATAAATTAAATATAGCACGTTCATACGCGGAGTTGAACAGGCGCGCAACGGGCACGTCTAAGGGGATAAAAATTCAATTCGGCGTACGGGTGCGATGCGTTTAAAAGCACCCATAAGTGCGTGCGTGGAAGCGGCATCTACAGCACCTCTTCAATAGATTGATTTAAATGACCATGGATTTGAAATGATAATAATGATTAGACAGGGGTGCGTTTTGTGTGAACAACCGAATGGGTTTATCGTGGTTTCGGTGAGCGCCGAGCAATACTGCTGTCAGAGGAGTTTCAGCATATATCCAGAAAAATCGTTATTTTTTTGGAGAAGCCTCCCGCAAAGAATTCAGCGTACGACTCGTCTCATTTATTGCTCACCGGGAATTTGATCTTAGCTCGAATGGGTTTCATATTTTCTTTTCAAAATGTGCTAGCCGGAAAAAAAAAATACGTTCCGTTGCGCAATCTGTCTCAAGTCAACGCTCGTATTTTAAAGGCGAGGTCCTCCAAAAGTGTGGCGTGTTGCTTCCCGGTTTACTGGAACTGACCGCGTTTCGCACGCACTGAACGAATGAGTCACCAGATAAACAAAAAGTTCCACAAGACTGCCGGGATATCCGACGGAAGGTTGGGAATAACTGGAAGAGAAGGACGTGCGTAAATAACGACTAAATGCATAATTACTCGAGCAGCCTCCCCTCAGCCCAAAAAGTTGCTCCAAACACCTGCATGTAATCATTTATCTCCCAAGTTTCAGTGGTAAAGACGACTGATAACAGGACACTTTGGGCTTTCCCACATGATTCACATCTTGTGTCAGTCTCCCACTCCACTCTCTGTGGACTGAATCATTATTACCATGAGCCGTAATGGTGGAAAATGTGCTATGCGGCTCGAACATCCAACCCCCCACCTACACCCACAGTCCCTTATACCATATGTTCTCTTGCTCCTTCCAGAAATACAGTATTGACATGCCCGGCTCCAACAGTGCCTTCATCCCCACCATTAATGCAATCACAACAAGCCAAGACCTTCAGTGGATGGTGCAGCCCACAGTCATCACCTCCATGTCCAACCCGTACTCCCGCTCCCACCCGTACAGCCATCACCTGAGCAACGGGCAAAGTTTGCTGGGCCACAACCCACTGGCCCGTCCAGGGGTCATCCGCTCCATCGGGGACGCCAGAGGCCGACGCAAAAGGGAAGAGCAGGTGAGGCAATGTCATTTTGGAAAAAGTTGGCTGAGGGCTGCAACAAAATACAATTGGGATTGTGATGCCAGAAAGGTTACTTGTTACTTCAGGGAGCTGTCTTGATGCTCTTACATAGGGCTGCGAATGTGGGTATTTTTTCTGGAAGTTTTTGGTAATTTTTCATGGGTATTCAGGATGCGTAATTTTGGAAACATTCCAAATGGAAAGTTTCCATTTCGACGAAAGAGATTATATTGCAAAATTAAAAGAAATATTTTCTTTTATCACAAAGCTAAATAGATAGCTTTCCTTGCCCATATGCTTAGGGCATCACCTAAATTGATCTTTTTTTTTCACTTCACTTGAGCAGTGACGTATCTGAAGTTTGTTTACAACAAAAAGCAAAGTAACAAGAATAAAAAAGATAAAAAGTGATCGACCAGGCGATGTCTCATAACTGGAAAAACTTGTAATTGGGGCAGTTGTCAATCAAAAATGTATTTGAATGAAATGTGGTTTAATCTGGATAATGGTAAAATATATTTTAACCAACCTTTTTGTTAAATCCATGTTTACAGAACCTAACATCGTGGGGGCTACTTTCCAGACCACCCCTGCGATTAATAAAATCCATGACATAGAAATTTAAATGTTGTGAAGGCATGTTTTGGTCGCATTAACAGTACTTTTTCAAATAATGTAATTTATATATTGAGAGAGAGAGAAAGTAAGAGAAATAGATACAAATATTTGATAGTGTAATGATCCCGCAATGAGTTAACAGTAAACAAATCAATTTTTTATTCCAAACTAACAATCGTATTATATCGCACTATACGCCAATAATCATGGCCAATGATGTACACTCAAAAAAGAACATACATTTTCTTTCTATTGTCTTCAAAAAAGCAGGATCTCAGTGCATGACAATAATTTAAAATAAAATTAGGCTGTGCTGAAATACAGTACATCCTGTTTTGTCTTCCTTTTAAATTTAGTCTCAAACTAAATAAGTGGGCCTCCATCTAGTGGTCGGAAGTGGAATTGCGGTGCCCCCAATTATACAAGAGAGTTAGATCAAAATAGTTATTAATTGCATTGGGGGGAAAATGGTGAAATAGCAAGATGTGAATCTGGAACCTGCAGTGGAGGTGCATTTACTGTATTCCTGTTTATTCCCATAGAAAGTTTAAAAATGGCCAAAATTGATCAACCCGACTCTTGAGCGAAGCACGGAAAAGCCCCAAACTCAGCTCTGAGTTTTAGCTGCACCCTTGACTGGAACATCGCTCCTGTTGTACTCACACAAAGCTTAATATGGAGCACCTCCGTGTGAAAGCATAGGTTCCCCTGAGGATAAAACAGCGTTCTTGCAGGCAGCCCATACACACACACACTTACACACACACACACACACACACACACACACACACACACACACACACACACACACACGAAGACATTCATCTTTGCATTATGCCTTCAGGCTTTATATGTCATACATGTGTGACATGTGTGTATGTTACCAACACACTACCGCATTCCTTGCTTTTTACCCTCAGCTCACCCCAGAAGAAGAAGAGAAGAGGAGGGTGCGGCGCGAGAGGAACAAGTTGGCCGCCGCCAAATGCCGCAACCGCAGACGCGAGTTGACTGAGATGCTGCAAGGGGTGAGTAAGAACATCAAAAGTTCAGCAGCGATCATGTCATCGTACTGATCATCACGGGTGCCTAAAATTCAGACCAGCGACCACTAGCATGTTTTTTTTTCTTTTTACTGGTCCACCACATATTCTAATCATAAAATTTAAACACGGTCTGTATTAAAAGGTTGAAAGAAAAGTCTACATGTTGAAAGACAGTACAGTTTGCAATTTAATGTTAAAATGTGACAAAATGGAACGATAAAAGGATATAATTTATTTATTCATTCGTTTGTTCATTTATTTTGTACCGGAAGTGGAGTTGTCCCTAACCTGAAATTTTCGAGGGGCAAGTAGAAACATTCGTGGCAGTCACTGTAAGTGGATTTGCAAAGTAAATATTCGCGCCTTTCATTTTCTCTATATTCCTGATAAATGGCCCGAGGTGTTGAGCAGAGGTTTGTCAGCGACAGAAAATATTCAAGAATAGTCATTAAAAAAAGAAATCGTCCAATGTATTGGTTGCACAGTGTGAGATGAAAATTTTAGTTGACCTGTCTTAAATTTTAGAAACACAATGCCAGCATTTGCCTGCAAAACTGCTATGTTAAAAAAAATTATACCAATCAGTCTGAGTATTTTCCATTATTTCTTGAATTGCAAAAACTAAAAACACAAGATACCAAATTTTTAAAAATCACTGTGAATGTGTTGGGTTCTCACTTATATTTTATTTAATTTTTTTGCTATCACTGTCATACTCCCTTTTTGCTTTGTCACCAATAAAAACTAGCGATGTTTTTTTTTCCCCTTTAAATATGTTTCAACTGCTTTGCATATGGAATTGTGTTAAGTGGCCCTCCTGCTTCCTTCTGTTTTTCCCTATGTGGCGCTCAGTGGAAATAAAACATCTCTGTAGCTGGATCGCATTTTCGTTCTTGCCTTTTCTCAAGATGATGTTGATGACGATGAAGCTCAAGATTATGCAAATGGCACTTGCCACTGTTGATCGAAACCGGATGATGACGAAAGTTGTACACAGCCTCGCAGTGCAATCATACGAGTGAATATACTCTATACCTCAAGTCACAACCTGGCAATACTGGTTTGCCCCCTGCACCCTGCATAAAAAGTAGCACCGAAGCTTTCTACTTGGCAGCTGCGAACGGACACATGGCATGACATCTTAGCGAGCCACTAACAAAATGGAACCAATTAGCTCAATTTTCACTGAACTCAAGCTTGTTGAGACTTCCAAGACTCCCAGAAATGGAATTCGCCTTAGGCAGCTGTCTCTGCGAATGCGGGACACGGGCAAATTCTAATCATCTCCCTAACCCAGAATGCTGTGAGCTGCTCACACAAAACAGCTTCCACAACAGAAAGAAATGCCTTTCTTTCATGTGGCCATTTTTTGAATTCCAAATAAGGGAATGTCAGTTCCGAGTCATACCATGTCCTCTGATCGCACACCTCCTCTTTGTTTGCCTCCTTGGAAAACAACTTCCTCATACCTTTGCCCATGAGTCAAAGTTCTCAGACAGCATGTCACCATATCTTGCCTGTCTGTCTCACATTCGTGATGAATAGCGTATTATGATCCCAGACGCACACGCACGCATGTGAACACATACACACACACCCACCGACACGCAAAAACACACTCACGCAAGTGGCACATAGGTTGAAGGAGGACAAAAAACATAAACACATTATTTGTTCCGACAATCAAAGCAACACTGCCCTCCTTTGGTAGACTCAATGACACTACACAGGTACCAGTACAAAGAATGTTACCGTATTGGCCCGAATATAAGACGGCCCTGATTATAAGATGACCCCCTGTTTTTCAAGACTCAAGTTTGAAAAAATACTTTTTGAACACCAAATTAATTTTTATACAGAAAATAATTACAGTACATCTGAAGCAAATGATGATAATAATATATTTGAGAGAAAAAGCATGTTATTTTGCCTCATTCAAATCTTAATATCTCAACATTTAAATATGTAAACTAAAGTGCAATCACATTCGTAAATGAATGGCTTCTGGTTTTTGAAATGTAAATTACATTATAACTTCTCCTCAGCTGCCGATCTTCGACCCACTTTTCTCCAGATTGTTGCTACGTTTCTTCATTTTCTGTTATCTCTGCTATTATTCTCTTCTCTTTTCTTTCTTACCGCTATTTTTTATTTTTCTTCTTCATGCTACCGCTATTTTTATTTTTATTCTTCGTGACAATGTTATTGATGTCACTTTGGCCTGGGGAGTCAAGTTCAGCATTCGCTTCAATATCTGGCGCCATCTAGCGTCGGGAATGGGTATAATGTCTAGACCCCGAATATAAGACGACCCCCACTTTTTCAGTCTTATTTCAATGCAAAAAACACCGTCTTATATTCGGGCCAATACGGTAGCTAGCTGGACAACTAATTTGAATGTCATCAATACACCTGTAACACGGTTGCGTTTGGCAGGGCTTTAATCGGTTGTTTACCCGATGTCTCATTTCTGTCCTATCAGGAGACTGAGAAACTAGAGGAGGAGAAAGCCGACCTGCAGAAAGAGATCGAAAGCCTAAAGAAGGAGAAGGACAAGCTGGAGTTCATGCTGGTGGCCCACAATCCCGTGTGCAAGCTGCCCAACGAGGATCGCCACGCGACCCCGGCGCACCATCAGCACCATCAACACCAGCAGTGCGCTCCCCTGTCCTTGACCATGCGCCCCAACATGGCGGCCCGGGCCCACGTGAACCACGTGGTGGTGAAGCAAGAGCCGGACGACGCGGAGGAAGTGGCGGGCAAACCCCAGCATTCCGTCATCAAGCCCATCTGCCTTGGCGGGATGTACTGTACAGATGGCGACAGCCTCAACACGCCGGTGGTGGCGGCATCCACCCCAGCCGCCGCACTCAACGCCCCCAACCTCATCTTCACTTACCCGAGCATGCTGGAGCCCGACAGCCCCTCGCCCTCCTCCGAGTCGTGCTCCAAGGCCCACCGCCGCAGCAGCAGCAGCGGCGATCAGTCGTCGGACTCCCTCAACTCACCCACCCTATTGGCCCTGTGAGAAGGTCCGCAAACCAAAACACTGTGGCGGACGGTGAGCGCCGGGATCAAAAGACCCCAAGGCGCATTTGGACGGTCCAGGCCAAGCTGATCATGTGAACCGTGCCCCCACTTTTTGGCAGGGAGACCCCCACAAGGGCTACGCTGCGTGTTTCTTCTCGTCCTGCTTCGATCTGCTCGGTCATACTTGTACAACATGTGTGCGGCAATCCTTGACGCGTTAAACACTTTGCCATTTCAACTTTTACAGTGTCAACTTGTTTACTCAAGACTCTTTCCTCCCTTCAAATCTGGCCTTTGGGAGTTCAGATGATATACAATAGGAGTTCCTAATATATACACATATACATATCGATATAAATATATTTTTGAGAAAAAAAAAGAATTAAAAGCCATGACCAGTTGCACTCTGCCAAGACGAATCAACAGATCACGGAAAGAGGTCACATCACGAGAGACAATGAGCAAATAGTTGTCTTTTATTTTCATTTGTGTCCTGTTCGAACCCCAAGGACCTCGATTCATCTCTTTAACTGTATTTAATGTGCTGATAAAAAGTGTTTTTGAGACATTGTCTTCTCCCTCATCTGCCTGTAGAAAAGCATCAT